AAACGCAAACCTCCAAAGCGGGGGCTGCTACGCTACACCTTGAGCCTGGTTATAGTAAGTAGCTATAGTTATAGTTGCGTGTACCCTTACTGAGTCCCCTGATCCTCCAAGTAGTGGTAGTTTACAATGAGAATCGGGAAGACGTGGCAAAACGCGTTGTGTTCATCGTTTGGGAGCCTGTCCAAACTGCACCACGATGGTCTTGGCAGGCCATCTCCCACAAACTGAGCAGCGGCGCACCCCAATGGATTAGCCACAACATGGTGCAGCAATCCATTCTTCGCCTGTAGCTGAACGCCGCTGCGTCACGGTATGCAGCAATTTCGACCTGCATCCAGCGTGAGCCGAGACAGATGCGAATCTTTTCCCCGGCAAGCACCTCAAATCTTGAGGTTCCTGCACTAAAATAGGAATTATATGCACTACAATCCTGTCCAGTATATTCATTATTATTAAGAGGTCCCACGAAACCTAGGGCCTTGTCCTTCCTCGGCTCACCAAAAAAGGGGGCCCTTCCCCCACGAAAAAAAGTCCTCAGCGTCCCGGCGTCCTCAGCGCTCCCGAGCATCGGGGATGGACAGCTGAAATCACTGGTTCCCAGAGTTATTTCTTGCAAAGGAGGCTTAGGGTTTTGGGGTTTAGGGTTTAAGGTTTGGGGTTTAGGGCATAGGGTTTAGGGGGTTTGTGGGGCTTAGGCTTCCCGCAAAAGAACATGTTTCGGGGGTTCTGTTTGAAATAAAAGGGTGTTCATGAGGACGTAGAGGCTGTGCACAGGGCTTTTGGGTCCACATGTTGCCCTCTTGCGATGAAGTATTATAACCTATGACACTGCCATGTTGTAGTATATCTGCCTGCATGTATGTGTACATATGTGTGCGGATATGTGCCAGCAGGCTGACTTCATTCGAGGATCAAGACTAAGGCTTTCAGTCGGAGCAAGTCCCTTCACGCTATCATGTTTCCTACCCGCTCCTGCACGACTGACACGCAGAGGGATCAGTAATCGTAAGGTCCAGATCAAGGTGCTTCTAACATGACAGCTAGCTCAGACGTGGCTTCTTTTTTGGACTCTGTGCAGGCTCAGAGGCTTGAACTGGGTATTTTTTTTAGGAGTTACTTATTATCAGTTTCTAGCAGTTGCTTCATATTCCAAATTTGCTTGTCCCAAGGGGTCGTCTGAAACGGGCTCTTGGTTTCCAAGACTCTAACGGGATAGTCGACCCCAACCCCCGAAAAGTGAAGAACCAGTGGAGCATCACGCTTTGGCTGCTGTTGAAGCACAGGAGGAGCAGCCGCGATCACAGGAAACCATTCCGGGCCCCAAATTCTGGGTCATCTTCCGCTCCGACCGTGCCTTGTAATTTCTCGATCTCGCTGCCCAGCAGCAGCCACACATTCTGCGTGCACTCTCTGACACTGTTTCGGGCGACATCTTCCCAAACAATCATGTCAGCCGCGATCTCCCGAAGCTCGAGATGCGTACTGGCAACTGTGTTGCCCCAAAGATACTGAACGTATGCAGTCCCTAAGGGACACGCAGAACATCTGTCCTTTCTCCGCAAACGAATTTGCTACAAAAATAGGCCGAGTAGTGTTACAGATCCCGAAGACTCAAAGTCCGTCCGTGTCTCAGCCTGCATTACAGCACATCAGTTGGTGCCGAGCATGAGTGTAAGGAGGAGATGTCCCCCTGTAGTACAACGTCGAATTTTCTTATGCACTGAGCGCTTCATTTGAAGAAGCGCCTGTCTATTTTCACTGCGAAGCAAGAGAGGCCGATTGTCGATGACATGCATCGTCAGCCCTATAGTACAAGAACGAGTCAAAGGCCTTGAAGCCCCTAAGCCCCTAAACGTGAAACCCTAAAGGCCCCAAAACCGTAAATCCAAGAAGAATAACATCGCCATCAGCTGCCTCCTCCGTTTTCCAGGGAGGCTTTGCAGCGTGGAGTAGACGGAAAAGGGTCCTTGTTCAATGATCATGCTTCCAAGATTCAACAAGACGACTGGCCAGGAGTTACCCAGCAATAGCCCGTCTCATGTTCGCCTGCGCTTTCTATCACATTCTGTTCAGTTTAGTTTTGATTGCTTTTGATGGCACTGCGTAAGTTTTGCAATGTTTGCCTGCACCTGCTCTTGTCGAGCCCTTTAGGTGTGAGTCCTTGTGGAATAGAAGACGTGAAGGTTTCGGACTCATCTCCCCGTGTGTATGTATCATCATATATCTGTAGAATTTGTACCTTCTAGCAGGTCAAAGGCGTTCAAGCTGAGGCTTCGAGGTTATGACTCTCAGTGAAAGTAGCCCTAAACCCTAAACCGTTTCAGTGTTATGTTTCGCGACTCAACCGTGCCTGCCAGCTTTTCCACGTCAAGGCTGCATCGTGGACCGTCCGGGGCAGGCACCTTGAAACCCGAGCTTTTAAAGCTTTCATTCAGATCAATGCCTTCTTCTAGTCAAGGTTGCGTCATGCAGTTAGGCGGTTTATGCGACAAACAACGAACAGAACCGAGAAGCAGAGAAGGAAAGTTCGCCACCCCAGCAGGGACTTCAGCTTCGACGCACAGCCTACACTCCCAGAAGAAGCTCCTGGAAACTTGCCGGGTCAGACTGGTCTGACCTGTTTCACGAAGAGCAGATGCCCAACAACCTGTTCTATACAATCACCGCATCATCTGAGGAGCTTATGCCCTTAGTATGACGAGGAGCGCTTCTGTCTAATGTAAATATGACAGCGCACGCCTCGAAGCAGCAACACGCGGCCACCGCGCCTCCGCGAGTAATGTCGGTGCCCAGCCTTGCCCGCTCCACGCAGGCGCTCGGATTGGGAGAAGGGGCCGGTTAATGGAGAAGCCCAACCAGTTACCAATCTTCGGTAGAAGCAGGGAACATACCTGGGTCCTTGTTGGACACAATTTTACGCTTTTAAAAGCCTAATAAGGGTTAAAAATGATCATTGTTACATTATGGTCCCAACAGGGAACCAGATACCGCCAAAGCCCATTCTAATAGGTAAGCCACTTTTGGTCTTGACGCAGGCTCAGCAGAGCCACAGAAGCTTCAGGATGTGTCAGAATTTCCGTGCCAGATTGCTCCCACGCCTACAGCACCTTAAACCCCTAAACCCCAAAACTCCTAAACCCTAAACCCCTAAACCCTAAACCCCTAAAACCCCCAAACCCCTAAACCCCAAACGCCCAACTGCTCCGTTGGAAGCTCGGAGGAGGCCCCTCCCCGGCCGCGCCCAGTTTTGGCCTGGGCTCTTCTCGTCGCCGGTTTGATGCTTTCAGGCCCGGTCCCGGAGATTCTTCGGCGGCTTTTGGGGGGGTCTGAATTTTTTAGAGTTTTAAGGGTTTTTAGGGGTTTAGGGTTTAGGGATTTAGGGTTCAGGGTTTTTAGGGGGTAGGATTTGGGGGGTTTTCCGTAAGGAGATCTATAAGATTCTAGGGGTAGTGAAACGGATAGTGTTCTGGGTTCATGAGTTGCTTTTGTTGGTCGTTCTTCGAATCATCTTACAGCGTTGTGGCTCGACCACCAGCAAGCTTCGAGCATGATAAATCGTCGACTTGCTGCACGACGCGATCAGCCATCATCAAGTCACGCGACGCAGCTATTCAGAGCCCTGCATCCGCCCAAGTTCCACAAGCACACCCCATTGGAGCACCATTCTGTCCTAAACAGCACTGCTGTCGACAACAGCATCACTACCAATGCCTCCCGCATCCCACCAACGCCCACAGTCAGTTGGTTACCCGCTTGCAGCTCGCAACAATTCAACGACACAGCCATGCAATGAAAAACGAGGGGTTTCACCTGCCCCGACAACTGCATCAAGCCCAAGATGTGTTACCACATCCTGCCAAAACTGTCCCCGATATCCACCTAACCATCAGAGCAGTAGTGACTAGTGCTGGTGTCTGGAGTTCAGGGCCCAAGACTATGAGCAGAGGAGCTCCCGCCGTACGCCGTAGCCCAACCCTAAACCCTAAACCTAAAACCCCTGAAACCCCCAAGCGAACCCAGGCCCTGCCTCCGAGTCCTTTGCCTACGCCGGCCGGGGCATCAGCCCTCTCAAGGAAGACGTGGAGGCATCTCTCGGTGAAGGAGTCCGCACAAGCGTGGAAGCACTTAGTGTAGGGCCTTACTTGTAATAGCCCTAATAATTTAGGAAAGGGTTTCGGGGTCCAAAATGCTTTGCGTTCATCCTGATGGCCTGTTGGGATCGTCTTATTGATTCCTCGGACTTTGACATTGCCATGAAGTGAGGAGACATTTTGAAAGCCGCATCCCTGACATCTTGAAAGCCAGCCCCACCTTCACGGCAGTGGTAACTGTTGATGATACAACTCCTTAGCATTGCCTTTGGGACCCTAAACTATGGGAATTAGGGTATATTCCTTATTATGGGTAATGCAGGATTTGCATCATCAACCTCAAGGGCCGGCTTCTTGGGGCTCAGAGATCAGAAGCATGTGGTCGTCGCTGGTCCACCATCAGGTATGCAGAGGACCAACGAGGTATAATGCTATAAGAATATGATGCTACATTTTATCAAAGTATAGTCTAGTCTAGTATTTTATATTATGTTCTATTATGTTGTACTATGTTATATCATGTTATGTACTATGTTTATATTGTAATGTATCACAGTATCTCATGAGATACTGTGATATACATTCTTGAAGGGCATCAGAACACATACAACGTTCAGTCCCATGCGGAGCCCCCATCCGATCCGGAGGTACTCGGCGTGCTCCGAGAGCGGCTCGTCGTGGGATACCACATGAGCTTAGAGGCCGCCACCAGTACCACGACAGTTTGTGTTATGGTATAGTATGGTATGGTAGAGTATAGTATAGTATTAGTAGAGTGTAGTAGAGTATAGTGGTACAAATTAAGGTATCAGGGCTTTTTGTACCATATCACCCTGTTCTGTTGCTGTACTAGTATATTACTGTGAGATTTAGGCCTGGGGGTTTCCGGGACCGTACCTGGAGCACCAAAACATGAACAGAGAGGGGCATTGCTGCCGTTGGCTGTTTCATCGGATGTTAAGCCGCTAAGCCCAAACATGGATCGCCTCTTGGAGATAGGATGAGATGGTAGAAGAGCTCAAAGCCGAGAGGCTGGAGGTTTCTGTGCAGATCCCGTTTCGGTTTAGGGGCAGGCAACTGGCATGTCCGCGCAGCGCCGCTCAGGCGGTGAACGTCTTTGCCAATGGCACCAGGCTGAAGCCAATTAAGGGCAACAACTGGCGAAAGCAGGACCTTGCCCTTTGCTGCTCGTGTAGTGACTAGAAGTTGTGTTCTTGTCTTCTTGACAGTGTTTAACATGCACACCAGAAATCTGGTGGTTATGACTGCGTGACGCTCTTGTGGTCATGCGCGCAGACAGCTCGAACGAGTCCATGCACTCCAGGAGATCCGGTATGGCGAGCGAGACTGCAAGCAGAATGCTCAGCGCAGCCAGATCAGAGGCGCTGCGTCTTCAAAGTGGAGCGCAAACTCTGAGGTATGCCGAGTTTGCCATCCCTCCGCTTCCTGCAGACATCAACGTTCTGGGCTCCTTCCTGAGACGTCGCCTTCCGTCACCTCACAAGCCGAGAATCCATGAAATCCTCAAAAGCTGCTAACCGAATCCCCGAAAGCCAAAGCCACCCTCCAGCCCTAAGCCCTGCAAATAGCTTCTGCACTGCAAAGGCCGGGTTGTGGGAGGAAATATCCTGGTCAATGCCATGGCCCCAGTGACCCACAGATTGGGACTACAGGGGCTTGGGGTTCCCCTAACCGGTCACTGTAAGGGTTCTATAGGGGTTGCTGTGCGAGTTTAGGATTGTGGGGATTTGGGTTTAGGGTGGTTTCCACCGCAACACCGATGGACATGCTTGGAAAGGACTCGGGGCAAACACGAGGGGACGAAACCAGACTCCCCTGCTTAATCCTTCCAAGTCCAAAAACTCGCGGCACCCGTCGTAGCCTGCAACCCGTCTTGCCTTCTCTCTAAGGTTGCTGGCGTGAGCTGCACTCTTTGTGAGAAACCCTGTGTCTCCACGTCGCATCCATCCCCTCATGCAGCTGTTGAGGAAGATGTATTCTGCTGCAGCCAAGTATCGGATCCGAAGATGGCGGGGTAGGTGGTTCGGTCGTCGCAGTTGTAGCAGTTGTAGTAGTTGTCGTCGTACTAGTTCTAGTAGCAGTAGTAGTAGTAGTAGTAGTAGTAGTGGTAGTAGCAGCAGCAGCAGCAGGAGGAGTAGTAGTAGTAGTAGCAGCAGCAGCAGCAGTCGCAGGAGCCGTCGTCGTAGCCGTGACGCAGTCGCAGTAGCAGTAGTGGTGGTCGTCGTCGTCGTATGACACCACCCCAAGATCCACCGTGACATAACATTGACGGAATGAATTTGCACTATCTTGCCGTGGAGCCCCTGCCCTTGGCAATGGTGGCGCCTTGAACTAGCGTTCGTGAGTTGGGGTTTCTTTTTTTGGCGTTGTCGGTTTGATTGAAAATCTCAATGAGAAAACCCGAACCCCTAAACCCTAAACCTTAAAATAAGATTCACCGCCGCCCTTTTTGTCCCGAATCGAGCCTTTGGGTGCTCTGGCACCAGGTGACACACTTCCTGCCAGAGGACAGCGCCCCCAGTGCTGCACTGTGGAACCAGCTGGCACCTCAGAGCGCTTGACGTAAACAGGGCCGCAAATCCTGAAAACCCCAGTATATGATACAGAATATGTGTATTGTATAATATCCAAAATTTCTAACATACAATGTAATACACTAACTTGAGACGTTCACTTTCGAGGCCGCCAGCAGCCATGATCCGGAACTACCCTACGGTGTATTCCTGCGCACGACTACCTCGGACACGAGAGTCAGAGTAGCCAGGAAATCAGAGTTGGAAGAGAGAGACTGCGATTTCTTGGGAGCACATGTGTACATATTAATGAACGGCTTTGCGCGAGTCTTGAAGAACCTTGTAAATGGCAACAGCAACAACAAGAACCAACAGCAAAGCTGCCGCTCAGGGACTTCATGCGCAAGAAGCGCGTGGTGCCGCAGAAGAGATTGCAGGCCGGTTCTGTGAAGTTGCTTTCAAAAAAGACGATTCTAGCGATAATGATGATACTGACAATGCTGATATTCAGTCTCACTTGATGCCAGCAAGTTGTTCCCGTCAGCTGCAGAGCTGACCAGGAATTGGTGCTGTTGAAATCGACATGTCGAATTTGTCACAGAAGTTGTGTAGTAGCGTTCAGGCCACACCAACGAAGCTTCAATCGTTTCGGATTTAGGGGTTGTCAAGTTGTATCCATCCGAAGGCTGGACGCAAGATGATCGGAGGACTTCGTGACGGGTGGCCAGTCGGCACTTACGTCCAAAGCACACTGCAGTAGCGACACCAAATGGACCATGCACCTAAGACTTGGCCAGGAAGAGGCCGCAAGCCATGGAGAGTGTGTGTGTGTGTGTGCACGGATACCAGGTCAGACAGAGTATTGAAAGCCAGATGCTTGTACTTCGTAGAGTCCGTAGAGCATCGACCTTGTAGTCTTTGAAGTCCTTCCAGCACTGCAATCGAATTCTGTCCCTTTGGCCTCACCTTGCCAGGGCGTGGTCCTGAGCGGCGACGACCCACAGCCACCGAATGCGAAAAGAGCATGCAGGTGCAGCTTAGCCTTTGACATTCATGAAGGTAAGCATCGTTCAGCTCAAACAGCATCCTCTGTGTATGTGCATCATGTGGACGTTTTTTTCAGATGTATACAATGAATCGGGGCGACTCGCATCTTCACCTCCGGAATGGGCACAGTATCGATACGACAAGGGCCGATAGCGCACCGAGTGAGGTGCTCGTGCCGACGCATTTTGGAACAAGGGGGTTCAGCTTCGTCAGAGATTAGATAGAGCATGGGAAAGCATGCTAAGTTGAGGCAGTTCCGAACTGCTTGGAACTACATGGACACATATAGACCCGCGCAGCAAGTTTCTGCATTTCGCAATACAGCGCCACAGCACACTGACAAACACTCCCGGCGTCCACCCTGGAATACAACCTCCTGGCATGGGCGGTACGACAGGAACTTCTTCCAAGAAGTCTCCATTGCAAGAGTAACGTCAGTGAAGCCTGAAACCTTCTCGAGCTAGCAATTCGTGCTCTGCTACTTCGCAGACTTGTGAAGTGCGCAGCCATGCTGCACAGAGGAGCCCAGTTCAGGGAAGGCAGAAGCTTGCTGAAGCATTGAGCTTGCATGCATGGGTCTGAATTGCTCTCTTGGGTTCCCGACTCGAATAAAACAAAAGAAGATACACCACAAAACCTCCAGATGTTGCGTTTCACCTCTTTGTCCTCTTACTAGGCTGACAAGCACAGAAATGCAGACGGCGGAGAAAGCTGCACGAGAGCCTCAAAACCCTTACCCCCCCCCCCCACATCGCAATAGCAGATTCTTCGACCAACAGTGGAGGGACATTTCTTCGCTTCAGAAGTTTCGGAGGCTCTTTACATAAAGGATCACTCCGCGGAAACGTAGTATGCGCGTGAAAGGTAGGGTTATAGGGTTAAAAGTCAGAAAAACCGCTCTTGCGGTGTTGGAAGTTGTACTTACAACTTCTAAGCTGAACAGCGCTTGTTTGTCGGCTTGTAGCCAGGCCCGCCTGATGTCAAATGCCGTCAGTTTCCCCTAGCTTCAGCCCTCTGCCACTCTGAAGCTCTGGCCCATCCTTACTTGGAGGTTCATGGGTAGTTATACATGGGGTCATAAGTCCCCTAACATGGGATATGAATATAATATATAGCTACCCAACTTATATTCTTTTGGGGGGCCTACAAACAGGGGCCCCTAATTTAGAGAACTAGCCATATAGTACCCTTCTAGAAGCCTTATGGAGCCTTAATAGTACCCTTATAGAGAACTAATTACCCTAAGATGTAAGAACCCGGACGCCCGAGTCGGATCTCAGCGGCCCGGAGCCTGGAAAAGAGGACTCCAAACCTTGCGCCGGCCAGGGCGAGGCGCGAGGGATCAGGGAGGCTTCAGGAGTTTAACCTTACTAGGGTTTAGGGGTTTAGGGGAGAGGGTTTAGGGGTTTAGGGGTTTAGGGGTTAGGGTTTGGGGGTTTAGGGGTTAGGGGTTTAGGGTTTAGAGGGGGGTTCAAAGAGAAGTCTGAATCCTATTTCTGTGATAGAGTGCCTGCATGACTATACGATCATATAAAGACCCCCCCAAGCCCGGTTAAGCCACGGCGTTAAGCTGTAAGCGGTAAAGATTATTACGCTGGCGGCATGGTGCTTGTAAGGCGTGTACAGACGACCGTGAGGACCGTGAGGATGGCAGAATGAAACATGAAAAACGAAACATGAAAAAGGGCTTGGAAATATGTTGACGGAAGTACAAGTCAGGGTTTAGGGTTCGGGGTTTAGGGTTTAGGGTTACCGAGAATGGCAATGAGCAAGACTAGCATGTGTTCACGTAACCACGGCAGGAGCGTGTTGTGATGCAAAGAGTGGTTCTCAATGACGACGATGATGACGATCATGATGGTGATGATGGTGCTCGTTCCGAGTCTGACCCCAGTTCAAGTCTTCTTCAAAGCCCAACGACCTCAAGCCTCCGCTAGCACTCCGTTAAAGTACCCTTTCTTGACCCCCTTATAGTGCGTGTTTCAAAACCCCGGACAAAACCCGCACAATACTTGTTTTAGAAACTTTATAGAATCGTCATAGTACTGTTCGTCGGACCCCAAAGCGGCCCTCCATAGCACTCCTTCTGGAACCCGTCATCGATCTCTCCTCTCCACCTACCACGTTTCGTCACAGATCCCCACCATGTAGAAGGTCCTCTAACAGCAACCCCAATCCCCTAAACCCTACACCTTAAAGCCCTAAACCCGAAAGACCCAAAACCCTAAAACCCTGAACCCTGAAACCCTAACACCCAAAAACCCTCAAACTCTAAGAACCCTACTTTGAAAAGCGGCACAAAGAGGCGTGACCCTGGGCCGAGCATGGTGGTCACCCTCCAGGTCGCATGTTTCGACCGCTTGAGTCTGCTTTGGGCAGTTCTCTAAAGTAGGGTCCCCAATATATTATAAGGTTTCTATAAGGGTACTAGAAGGTTTCTGTAAGGGTACTATAAAGGGTTTTTCTGAGTAGTTCTCTAAAGTAGGGTCCCTTTTGGGGGTCCGTCAAAGGGATCTATAAGGGTCTCTATAAGGTTCCTATAAGGGTACTACAAGGCTTACTATGTGGGTAGTTCGCGAAAATAGGGTCCCCTTTTTGGGTCCCCAATATTTTATGCGGCACCCTTCAAAAAAGGACCCCAGAAGGGACCCTAATTTAGAGAATTACCCATATACGAGCCTTAGCAAGAAGGCTTCCTGAAAAGGTGCATGTCCTGTAGTCAGGGTTTCTTGTAGGGTTTTAGTCTACGGCGTCTTGAATGGTTAGAGTAGGTTAGCGTTTCGGGTGTGCTGTACCATTTGTATATAAGGGCTACAAGGGACTATGATTCGCAATTAGGGCTTGAATGCTCTAGTGCTACTTGTCCTTAGCGTTCCTTCATGGAATCATAGTATGATGCAACCCCAAACCCTATTCTACTTCTCCAGGCCCCTACATTATGGATCTTGCAGTGTGGCAGTTGAAGATGGCATGACAAGCCAGGCGCCAGCAGCGGCAACAAAGGAGATTGGCAGTTCAATTGCCTGAAGGCTGTCGGCAAACAATTCACAGAAACGTGAAATGCATCTCGGGGCATGAATGCTAGATGGAACTGCTTTCTCGCCCCCAGATGTGCAAAGTCCAAATCAAGTCGGGCCAGTGCGATTGAAGCACCAATAGCTAGGTCCAGGAGCTCTCCCTCAATCCACGACACCCTGATATAGTACCCGAAGTAGTAGGATCCTTACTATAAGGACCCCAAAGAAGGTACCCCTTATTTTCGGAAGCTCCCATTTTTTGGCTTAGGTATCACATCACATCCGCCGCGCCCCTGAGCCTGGAGAGGTCTGCCAGCAGCCTCCGGGATCGACTGCTACCCAAGCTCGGGGGCTCAGGGTTCAGGGTTCCTTCAAGGGGATCCTTATAGGTCTTACATGGGTTTAGGGTGCTGAAAGCTTTGGATAATTAAGGAGTCTAGGCTTCCAAGCTTTGAGGCTTTGGGGATCAAGGGTTCTGGCGGTTTTAGGGTTTGGGGTCCCGAACCAATCGAGCATTTCAGATGCGCAAAGCAGCGAAGATTTGGGCGCTTTTTCTGCCCGCTTCGGTGGTTTGGAGCCCATCTTGGCATCTGAAAGGCCATTTACCAGAGCGGGCCTTGTGTAACGTTGTGCACCGCTTTAGGGTTTAGGGTTTAGGCTAACAATCTGCTGGTATGGGCGGGGGCCCAAGTTCGAAGGCTCGCTTGGCTTGGGTCTAGACGACACCAAAGCCTTCTTGCGGAGAACTCTTGGGGCTCTCTTCGACTCTGAGATAACACGAGTGTTGAAGTGCTGAGGGGTCCCCACATTGCTCGGATCCTATAGCCCTTTGTATTTTTAGGCTTCCTTGTCAAAACCAATACGAGGGGTTTAGGGCTTGTTGTGTTTAGGTTGGCAAGTTGGGCATCGTTGTGGCAGAGGGTGCTTTATTGAGACTGAGTTGGAAGCAAAGGGCCCATCTAGCACAAGGGCTGATGAGCAGCGTGGCGAATGCCAAGTTGGGAAGAACCATCACCGTACCCTTCACCCTCATACCCAATGCTCTCTAATCTCTTTCTCCTCATATGTCTTTGCCCCCACTATCCAAAAATAGCCCAACTATCCGTAAGCCTGTAAACAATGAAGGCCCTGATGCCTGCAAAACCCTCAACTACGCCTTTCGATGCGGATGACGGGCTTCAGCGACTGTTCAGGCTGCCCAAAGGCTACTGGCTGCCCACCATTGCTGCCGGCTCCCCGAGCTTTTTTGCTTTACCCACCCTTTAGTGGGTGAGGGCTTGTAGGGTCCTTGGGGTTTAGGGACCCTTTAGCCCTCTAGTGGGTGAGGGCTTTTAGGGTTTAGGGTTGCAGCCCAAAAAAAAAGCAAGCTGCTATGCAGAACGAACCTTCACACAAGAAGGTGCATGATTTCGTCTCTCTTACCAGACGGTGTGTTTGTCTCGAGGCTCTGCCTGCTTTCCTGATTCAGGTGAGGGTTTCCGAAAAGAGGGGACTCTAATATAGTACCCTTAATAGTAGGATCCTTATTATAAGGAACCCCCCAAAACCCTAAACCCTATAAACCCTAAACCCTAAACCTATAAACCCTAATCATAAGGACCCCAAATTACGGTACCCCTTATTGTCTGAAACTCCCAGGTGGGCTGCTTCACTATTGTGTCCTCCGGCGCCAGGGCCTCGATTCCAACTCGGAGCCCACAAGCCTTCATCTGGGCCTGTCATTCAGAACATGAGGGAGCCTCATACATGTATCTTCCATGTGTGTATATATATACTATATATATAATATGTGTGTATGTGTATATGTATATGAAGAGAAACAAGAGTATGTTTACTCTCTGGCACCCGAAAACCGGAACGACCAAGAGTTGCTGAAGAAGTTCGCAGAGAGCGCCCTGGATGAAGGCCCTCTTTGACCTTGCG